GCGTTGGTGAGTTTGAGATTATGAGCAGAGTTATAAGATTGTGTTTTCACTTTAGTATGTGTTTCCAAAGCAATAATGTATGTGTGTTTTCTCTGTTTATTTCAATATTGGTGATAATACAAATAATTGTTTCACTGAATTGTGCAAACTAAACGTTGAGTACTTGAGTTGTTGTGAAGATCAAATATTGCTGGTCATATCTCCAATAGCATCTTTCTGCAAAAAAAAATTATATCAACATTAGAATTTAGATCAATTTATTTTTATTGAGAAAATTGATCAAATATGAATTTATTATAATTGTGGTTTTAATATTTATTTATAGCTATTAAATTTATCTTTTTATTAGTATATAAAATGTATAATTTGGTTATGTATGCAAAAAGATATAGATATTTATGTATAAATATTAAAATTTATAGTCTAGTCACTTGGGTATCCATGGGTGAACCTATACCCTATTGGATTATTTTGTGGGCTTTAATTTAACCATGATGTTTATTGGTTTTTTTGTAGGTTGGATATAAACTGGGCCGGGTTTTTTGTGGGCTGGGCTGGGCTGGGTATATTTACCCAAGTTAACATCCTATTCACAAGTCTTCTGTTGAGCTTCCGAAGAGTATTGATATCACCTAAAAAAGGCACAAGAAGACAACACTGAATAATTTTATGAAGAACTGGAGGTGCAGGAGAAGCTTCGGTCACATGAGTGGCTGGCTGACGAATACAAGTGTTTTGGTTGTGTGATAGAGAGATTGTAACCAACAAGGAAAGGTTTTGGTTGTGTGATGATGAAGGATGGAAATGTTCATGATGATAACTTCAATTCTGAGGATGGAGATGTCTATGATGATGATACTAAATAAATATGACTTACTAAAATCCTCAACCTTGCTAGGTAAGGAAGACAGATCTACCTACAAGACTGAACTAGTCTGTGCAGGCTCTTGAGGTCATTCTTTGAGTAATGTTTTCCATTTTATTGATAAATAAGATAGAGAAACATAGAAGAAGAAGAAATAGACATATTATTCTAAGTTATTATTATCGAAGTGCTTACTCAAACACAAACATGTCACACATTCCAACTCCTTTAAGGCTTTAACTTCCCATGCTTCTCTAACGATTTTGAGCAGAATGGAAAACATTACTCAAAGTGTTTTGAACTCCGATCTCTTTTATCTCCGGTCACTCTTTCTAAACCCAAACCCTCTTCTTATGAAACAGAAAGATCCAAACTCCAATAACGATTACAAAACGAGAAGGATAACAATCTCATGGCAATCGCACTAGATGTCTCATGACGACGGAGCTAGATGACTACTAAGGTGTGCACCCACTAATAATATGTTTTGAATTAGTCCCTGTTCAAAGACCATCATCTCATTGGACGCTTCTCTAAACACTTGATTCAGAGACCTTAGATTTTTTTTAGTACAACCACTAGAGGATGTTCTATTCCATTTCCTATGGGTGGAATCGACTTTGTAGAGCAGAACCAGATGCCTCGTCTTAGAAGTCCGATTGGAATGGAAATTAGTAGATTACGTTCTATTCCATTTCCAACGGGTGGTATAGAAATCAGAGAGCCCAACCAAGCACCTCGTCTGAGAAGTCCAGCTGCTTCTGCGACTACCAAGGGGAAGGGCAAAATGCCAATTGATTCATCCACAGAGAGTGACTCTGACTCAGAGGATGATATGGTGGTCCCAGTATTGCGAACTTCGGTTGATGTAGCAGAACGAGCTACATATCCTATGAGACGCCGTTTATCCTTTGGGATTCCCGGAGTACCCGACATAGTGCGAGAACCTGATCACAACTCCTCAACTTCCGAGGACCCTGAAGAGATCCCACCTGATGAAGGGCTACATTGGGGAAAATTTGATGAGGCACTGTATGAAATGCTGAATGACCCACATAACCCTGCTTTACTTGGTAGGGATGCACCTCCAGTTTTCAATGCCCGACCAGTATCAGGTGAATTACCAAGGGTTTTACATTATAGTTTTCACTTATACAATATGTCTTTCCTAATACTGATCTCAACCTTTTTCCTTCTAGGTGTCGATTCCGCCATAGTTGAAGTGCATTCAAGGGAGATGAAATCTTTGTTGGGCGGGTCTTCAAGTCAAAAGCGGACTGCAAAATAAAAATGGCCATACATGCAATAAACAGGAAGTTCCATTTCAAGACCACCCGATCTAATACCTCCATGCTTGTGATTCAATGTGTTGGCCAATCATGTCCATGGCGGGTATATGCAATGTTGTTAGATGCAACTGGTAACTTCCAAGTACGCCAAGCTAGTCTAATCCATACATGTACTGTTGATGAGCGACGCAACTTTCACAAACTGGCGACAACTCAAGTCATCGGAGAGATTCTGCAATCTCGGTTTGTCGGAATAAAGAAGGGACCAACTGCTGCAGCAATTAGGAAAATATTGCTTGACGAATTCCATGTGAATGTGTCATATTGGAAAGCTTGGCGCTCAAGGGAGCTGGTCATGGAACATGCAATGGGGACAATGGTGGGAAGCTATTCTTTGATTCCCGCTTATCTCGGACTTCTGCAGTCCTCAAATGAAGGTACACTATGCTATTTGGAGCAAAATGAGGACGCAGACGGGGAATCACGCTTTAAATACTGCTTTGTTACGTATGGAGAATCAGTAGCATGGTATGCCTTCATGAGGAAAGTTGTGGTTGTTGATGGGACTTCCATGAAAGAGAAGTTTGGCGGATGTCTGTTATTGGCAGCAGCTCAAGACGGGAATTTCCAAATATTTCCTCTGGCTTTTGCGGTTGTTGACAGTGAAAACGATAATGCTTGGGAGTGGTTTTTCCAGAAGCTAAGAACATTTGTGCATGACTTCCCCCAACTAGTCTTTATCTCAGATAGACATGCTAGCATTTACAGCGGACTCCGGAAGGTAACAATTGAGAAACAGGAGATGCGTACATATAGTTATCGCTAATCTATCAAATAACATAGCAACTTTATATTCTATACCATTTACTTAATAGTATAGTAATCTCATGACAGGTGTACACAGAAGCCGCACACGCAGCGTGTGTGGTACATCTTTGGCGCAATGTTCAAGCCAAATATAAGACGAAGAGACTTGCAAATCTAATGTCAGCTGCAGCTCGAGCATTCACACTAACAGAATTCAATAAGCTGTTCATCCAGATTCAGAAAATTAACCCCGCCTGTGTTGCATATCTAGTCGATATAGGTTTGAACTATTCCATTTACAAATATCCATATGCTATGTTATATACCGTACCAAGTATTTCTATTCAATTCCAGTAAGCATTTCCATACATGTAATTCATCGCATGGTTTGAGCACTGGACAAGAACCCATTTCAAAGGTCTTAGATACAATATAATGGACTCTAACATAGCTGAATCATGGAATGGTGCCATTAAGGAGGCAAGAGAGTACCCATTGATCTCTATGTTTGAGTACATACGTACAACTGTGATGGGTTGGTTGGCATTGCGTCAAGCCAAGGCTAACAACGAGAAGGGGACATTGACACCAAACGTTCGTAAACTATAGAAGAAAACTATGACCTCTCAACTGCTTTAGCTGTGCGTGACATAGGTGATCTAGAGTTCCAAGTGCAGGACACTAGGGGAGAGTGCTTCACCGTCAACATAGGTGTTGGGAGCTGCTCCTGTAGAGAGTATGACGAAATTGGAATCCCTTGTGCACATACTCTAGAAGCAGCCGCGAGGGTTGGCTTTCCATCAGATGCATTGGTGGCACCAGCCTATCGTGTGACAACATGGAGAGACGGATTTGCTGGAAAAATTTACCTTGTTCCCTCAGTTGGGGGAGTGTCAATAGGGTCGTCAACAACAGGGGAACTCCTCCTCCCCCCCCCTCCCCCCGCAGTCCGCAGGCCATCTGGCCGTCCGAGGAAGCTTAGGATAAAGTCTCGTGGCGAGTTCAAGGTAACAATGTCCAGACAATCTCTGTGTTCAATAATATTCATAAATGAAAATGCAAATTTTACATTCGATTGATAAGATTATATATGGAATCGTTTGAGATGGAACGGAATTTGAACTATTTACAACCATATACTGCAGAGATCTGGGGCATCATCATCAAACAGGCGTTGCAAACGTTGTGGCCGGACATGGCACAACAAGGCAGCTTGCCGCAATGCTATATAAATAAGTGAGCATGAGGAGATGGCATCAGAAGGCAGGATAAATGAATATTTTGGGATATGTGTACTATAACCAGAAGCAGTTGGCGTATTAAGACTTGGCACTATATATAACTACAATGGCAAGATGGTGCTTTTGTTAACAAATACACACATATATGTAGATATACATATATGCGTGTATTTTTCATCTACATAGTATGTAAAATATATAACCCCTAAACACAAACACTGTGTTTGTTGTAAGGAAAACCTGCTTGCCTTCTCTTTTGTGTAAATGAAATGATGCCAATCTTACCTTACATATATAATCTTCTTTATACGTGAAGTAAATCAAAATATGCAACCATGGAGAACCCTCCTCTTGGATGGATATGAAAAGATGCCAATATTACCATATGAATATTATGTTTTGTTTGAGGTGAATTTCATCAAAATATCCAATCGTGGACTCACTGTCACTAGTTTCTTCAAAAATATACTGTATGGAACCTAAATTCCATATGGGTACCACATTCGATGGTAAGTATTATTGTGTTAATGTATATATAGTTTATTCCACTTCAACGACTGAACAATGTAAAGGGTTATTCTTCTGAGGCCATATATGTAAGACAGAGGAAAACAAATTGTAGTTATACAAAGTAATTAGAGAAGAATACGGTTAGATGAAATAGTTAATATTAAACAGAAGTGTATTCCATTCAACAAACAAAACATGCAAAGTGTGGCAATGAAGATAGAGCTTGTAGCTAAACAGAGAAAGGAATATTATACATAGCATTACATAAGGAAAGGAAACCAGTAGCTCCTACTCCGGCGGAGGAAGTTTTCCGGGCTGACACATCTGCAGTGTTTCAAATGTATAATTCTCTGCTGCTGTCTTTGCCTGCTCATCACTGAAATGCACAGAATTCAACGGCTTACCTACAGCGTGCAACTCTAACAACATGAGGGTCACCACAGCTGAACAACCTATTCAAGCCAAACTCATCAATACTTCAAGAGTTTAGAGTAATAGAAGAATGAACATAATCCTTGGACGCTTACATGGATGCTCTACAAGTGCAGAAAGCTCGAGACGGGAAATAGTCATGGGTGCAAAATGGAGTTCTTGCGCCTTGTTCCCGACACTATACCTACCAATGAGGTGGGGGAGAAGAATCGAAAAGGGTGTTATGACTGAAGTGAGATCTACCTCCGAAGGACAAGCTGTGTTGGATGCAACAACATACATGGCCCAGACATTTAAATCAACAATAACACCAACCCAGTAGCTTTTCTTCACCATGACAGGGACGTAGAGGACATCAACCTTCGTGAACCATTGAGGGCGGGATATAAACGGTTGCTTCAAACACGGGGAGAAAGAGTAAGCATCCTTAGAGGGGCAGGCATTAAACTCCCTGTAGTTACGAATGAGCTCAGCAACAAAGGAGGCGTCAAGGAAGTCAAATCTACACTGAGGGAGACCATCCCTGCGCTTCCGGATGTATGCGAGAACATGATCAACCGCCTATAACCATACAATTTAATAAATTAAGGAAGTTAAATAAATATGGTACTAAAATAAATTGAAAATATAGGTGACATTCCGGACCTTCTCAGAAGCCACCTTGGTGCAGTCGAAAAAAGACATTAACGTGTCAATTTGAAAGGTGTCATCGTCACAGGGTTGCTGATTCCTGGACAGTAAAAAAACCTGTTATGATCCCCGTCCATTCCATTTCCAATCCAGTAAACAGTAATGCATTATACTATATAGGTCATATTCCGTAGCAAATGGAATAGAAATAGATTATCGTACAATGGAAGTTGACACCTATGAAATGTTGTACTTAAAACTTACTTAGCATGCTCCATAGCCTCGAGGAATGCATCTCGTCTAGTAGCATTTTGGCGGAGCAATGGTGTAAACCCCCCCCCCCCCCCACAAAACCCGTAGTCTCAGTTATTGCAGTAGGTTCGGTAGAACATCCGACCTTCGCCTTTGTGTTAAGACGACTTCGTTTTTCTTGTTCTGGCTTACGAGGTCCTTCAGACAGCGTCTACCTATCTGGACTGTGACGCTCTCTTTTTCTGTAGCGTAAGAAGCCATCAGGTTGGTTGACGGTAGTTGGCTTCACATGATGTCCACTCTAACGTAGTAAAAATTGAGTTAGTCGTTAAGTAATGGTGTAGTAGTATATCCTGAATACAGAATGTTATACTTACCTTTCGTTGTTCTACTGATGTCGGGTTAGGCAGCACTCCCTCCTCTGTGGCTGAAACCGACCCTCCAACAGCATCCTACAATGTCAATGGGAGTTAGAACATAGGAGCTACAAATAAGAAGGTTATAAATGTATTTACCTCTCCTCCTTTCACCATGGGTCCAACGGCAGTAGATTTTTTAACACGTCCAGTCTAATGTAGTTTAAACTGTCTTAGACATCACATATTTAGTAGTACAAAATAATAAAGTCTGGTCAGGTTACCTTTTTTTGTTGCACTGCTTTCGGCTTTGATAGAATCGCGGCATATTTGCCCTCAACCGACCCTTCAACAACTTCCTACAATGTACAACCGTTAGACATCACATAATTTATCTGTTAACAACTTCGTATTGAATGTCATTACAAGAAATATGCTCATTGTTAGTGCGGGTTATATGCTATGTTAGGGGTTTGATAGCGTTTTCATAAATGCTATGTATACGACAGCCATCATAGGTACCCCCTACAATAGCGTTTTTTCTTGATGCTACGAAAAGTCAAATTATGATAGCAATACCTAGGTGATGTTATTAACAAATATATGGCACGATTATTAGGTGTTATAAACTGATTACGATACAAATTTGGTGCTATGGTATAGACTTCTACAATAGCAATCATTTATTTTGGTAATTGCTATTCAGAAATGCTATACTAACCTATTGTAATAGCAATTACCAAAATAAATTATTACCATAACACCTCTTCTGGGATATCTTGTTCACACTCTGTTAAATGGACAGTAGTAAAAAATGTGAGACTGTCATATAGCTAATCAGCTTATATGATAACAACTTACTCTAGCAGCCGAGTTTTCCCCAACCTCATTGTCTTCTCTCTGAAACATAAACGCAACACAGCATAATTTTCTCAATCTAACCACTTATATTTCTTAATCTATTCTTCAAGATGTAACTAACCTGGTTTTTAAATTTCGCAAGTTCAGACTGTAACTCGCTAACCTTTTGCTGGAGATGCCATTGCTTCTCTTGCATTTCAGAAATAGACTTGTGATTGAGATTGAAGCAAGCTAATTTTGTCTTACTAACATTTCTCCCCATTGCTCTCATATGACCAGGATTATCAGGTCCTAAAACCTGGATGAGTGTGTCTTCATCTTCGTTTTTTACCAGTCTGCTTAGCACCGGTAGCAATCTCAGCAGCCTTTTGCTGCAAACCACAAAAACATTAACCAGAAACATTAAAAGTATGTTATAATAAGAGTTACCGATTATGTATGTAACTTACAATCTTCTCAGCGCCATTAGTGTGTATAGGAGTTCCATCTTTTCTTGTACGTGACCTCACCCAGACTTTAAGTCTTGACACTTCAGATGGGTCTTCAGAACTATTTTTCTATGGAAAATATTATATGTCAACTTGCATTGTCAAAACATTTAAAAGGACAAGACAGTGTGCTTACCATTTCTTCTGCTAGTCGAACCATTCCCTTTTGACTACAAGTGTGAGGAATCTATTTGCGTCTCCTCTCCTTGTAGCTATCACTCAGAACCTATCATTTTGTATATTAACATGTAATCTAGATAGTAATGACGAGATTAAACAACTCGGAATGTATACCTTGAATTCTTGGCTTGTCTTTAGCTTCACAAATTTGCGCCATTCAACTGGAGGCACATTCTTGGGCCTGAGATTCATCCTTTGTTGGTTATTTTCAGCTTCATTGATTTGGGTTACTAGTCGTGACTTGGATGACCTCCATAAAGCTCCCATCTGCTTCAAAACTGCAACTCTTTGGCACTCCTCATCAACTTCAAATCTTGCCTGCAAATATAATTAACAAACCAATAATCAGTAACTTGAATATATTATTCCAGTAATCATTGTATACAAACAATTACCTGTACTGATTTCCAGAGCACTGTCTTCACTTCTTCAGTGATTTTTTTCCAATTCTCTACTGTAACAGGGACGTGTTCCCTTACCAAGGGACCTAAATATGAAGACAGCTTCACTGAACCAGGACCATATGCTTCTCCCATAAAAGTGAAATCCACATGAACTCTGGTATTTGGATCTTTGGCCAAGTCTCTCATCATGGTTGGTCCACGCTTTCTCTTACGACAGCTTGCAACCTCAGGCTCCAGAGTATGTTCTATCTCACCTTCATGTTCGTGAGAAACTTGCTGCTCTATTTGTGGGTCCTGATCATGCTCCATTTCTTGCTCCTTTTCATGATCACCATCCTGCATATCCTGCTCTAGGTCCTGATCATGCTCCATTTCTTGCTCCTTTTCATGATCACCATCCTGCTCTGGGTCCTGACGTGTTTAGACAGTACGAACAAACTCAACTTCTTCATCTACCGTTTTTGACTTCTTATTTCCTTTCTTTCCACCTTTCTTTCTTTTACCTCCCATGTCAATTTACCTGAAAATTATAAGAAAACAAAGTTAAATCTACTCAACACAACATTAAAGCAATCACACGACAATCTCAAACAAGCACACAATGACAAAGCAAAGAAGCACTCAAAAAGACAAAGCAAACTAGCACTCAAATACAAAAAAAAAGCTACGTTTCACACATATCCCTTCGCAATCAGTTCTAGCATTCTCAGCTTCATCAATGTCAACGTCCATGTCAACATCCGACGGTAATGGCCCAATGTCTGCATTTCCTTCTTGCATATCTTCCTTACTGTATCTTCTAAAAGGACCTTTCATGACAATATACCAGTTTGATGACTCGTCTTCTCTAGAGTAAAAAACTTGCTTCGCTTGAGAAGCAAGTATGTATGGGTCACTTGCAAAGGAGGCTTGACTATGAGACATGTTAACAAGTGTGAACCCATCTTCTATCTTCACTCCATTGCCCTTTACTGCCCATTGACAACGGAAGAGAGGAACATAGAAGATATTATAATCCATCAAAATAATATCTATGACTCTGCCGTAGTAAGATACCAAATCTACCACCTGTGATGTATCTTTAGCACTAGCTCTACACACTCCAGTAGCCTCATAATATACCCCACTATTCTGACTTTTCCGATCAACTGAGGTTGTGTGAAACCTCTGCCCATTAACAATGAACCCTGTGTATGACCTTGCAGAAGAACGTGGACCATAAGCTATCCACTTAAGTGTGTCGCTATGCTCTGTAGAATCAAGAGGCACCTGATAAAGTAATGTCAATTCATTAATCAGTTCAATAGGCAGTGTGTAAGAGGAGAAAATTATACAAATTCACTATTACCTTCTCTTTTAGCCACGAAGCAAAATTCTTTGTATGCATACTCCATAACGTTGATTCATCACGACGACATCTCCCATCTGTGTCTTGTAAATATTGTAGATGCTCACTTGTAACAGACATACAATAGGAACAAATTACTAAAAATAGATGCTAGTATATATAAATTGTTAACTCAAAGAGTAATATATACTTACTCCACATAAGGTTTGACGAGAGCCATGTTTTGGATGATAGCAAGATGTGCAATCCTCTTTTCCACCTCAGTGAGACTAACTGATGTACCAGTGGATATAGGCCGACCCTCTAAGATGGAATTGTTTTCATACTCCATGTTTCTTTCTACTTTTTCTTGAACATTTGTTGTCTTCTTCAAGAATTCACTGCAGAACCGGATACATTCCTCCGCTAGATAGCACTCAGCTATGCATCCCTCTGGTCTTGCAGGATTTCTCACAAAGTCTTTGAGGACTTTCATGTACCTGAATCAAATGATAGATTAGTCGGAATGGTAAAATAATGNTTTCTACTTTTTCTTGAACATTTGTTGTCTTCTTCAAGAATTCACTGCAGAACCGGATACATTCCTCCGCTAGATAGCACTCAGCTATGCATCCCTCTGGTCTTGCAGGATTTCTCACAAAGTCTTTGAGGACTTTCATGTACCTGAATCAAATGATAGATTAGTCGGAATGGTAAAATAATGAAGCAAAATAATTCATTTACATCTTGCCTTTCAAATGGGTACATCCATCTAAAGTGGACTGGTCCACCAAGCCGAGCCTCTCTTCCTAGATGCACAGTCAAATGGAGCATGATATCGAACAAGCTTGGAGGAAAAAATCTTTCAAACATGCACAGAGTCTCGACAATCTCAGCTTCCATAACCAGCAGCTTCTCCATGTCAATCACTCTCTGACACAATAGATTGAAGAAACCGCATAACCTAAAAATGGTGAGCCTCGGTCCTTTTGGTAGCAACCCTTTAAGTGCAATCGGCAGAAGTTGTTGCATCAAGACGTGGTAGTCATGTGATTTTAGCCCACTGACTTTACAGTCATCCATTGAGACGCCTCTTGATATGTTAGAACAATATCCATCTGGCCCTTTGAAATCAAATAGACGCCTGCAAAATATCTTCTTCTCTGTCTTCGACAATGACCACGGTGCTGGAGGGAGATAGGTTCTTTTACCTCGCATTTGTGGGTGCAAATCAGGCCTAATCCCAAGCTCCTCCAGATCCTTACGAGCCGCAAGACCATCCTTTGATTTCCCACAGTGCAACAAGGTTGAAACTAAGCTAGCAGCAACATTTCTCTCCACATGCATTACATCTAAGTTGTGCCTCACCGGAAGTTCCTACACATAAGAGACAGAAAACATATATTTAAAAACTGTGACAATGAAAAACAATTAAAGCAACAAAAGAAGCATCTTACCTCCCAATAAGGTAGCTTGAAGAATATAGACCTTTTCTTCCATCTAGATAACTCATCCTCATCAACTTGTACTTCTTCCTCTTCCTCTTCCTCTGATTCGCTGGAGAAACTCTCACTATCAGACCCTTTATCAGTTGAACACTGAATCCTTTTTCTCTTACTTGCATATCGTTTAAAATTTCCAAAATCATTCTGGAAATTTCTCAGATGTTGAGAAATGTCACTCCCAATGAGTATTCTTCCCCTTCTCCCTTGTTCAGCGTTTCCATCAAACCATCTCTTCTTTCCTCTAAATCTGTGATTTGGTGGAAGACCCTTTCTGTGGCACATGTAGACATGTTTTCTACTGAACTTCAGCCACATGCTATCTGTATTCTTCCCACATAAAGGACACCCCATTTTCCTTTTCACCTTGCATCCTGCAAGATTACCATAAGCCGAAAAATCGCTGATCGTCCATAGCAGCATCGCTTGAGTGTAAAAGTGGATCGAGTAAGAGCGTCGTATGTTACCTCTCCAACGCTCCACAGACTGTTCAGATCTTCTATTAGGGGTTCTAAATACACATCTATGCTATTACCAGGCTGATTTGGACCAGGAATCAACAAAGAAAGCATAATGTTCTCCTTCTTCATGCATAAGTCAGGTGGTAGGTTGTAGTTAACTAACAAGACCGGCCAGCAACTGTGCATCGAGTTCTTCATGTTGAATGGATTGAAGCCATCCGTTGAAAGTCCAAGCCTCAGGTTCCTCGCTTCAGCTTCAAATGAAGGGTATTTCGCATTCATATGCTCCAATGTCACTGAATCAACAGGATGACACAGCTTTCCATCACTGCTTTTGTTGGTAAAGTGCCATCTTAATTCCTTGGCCATTTCCTCAGACCGGAACATTCGCTTCAGTCGTGGTATTACAGGAAATTACCGTAAGACTTTCTGTGGAACGCCTTTCTTCTTCTCACCAGTGTGCTTATTAGTCTTCCATCTCGAAGCTTTGCATTTAGGACACTTGTCGAGCTTCGTGAACCTCTTTCTATAAAGGA